CCCCAGAGGAGCTGGAACACGTGGCTGGGGAGAGCGAACTCTGAGCCTCCTTACTTAGGCTGCTGACCCCGCGACCCGACCCCGGATAAACGGTGCATGGATGGATGGATGGATGGATGGATGGATGGATGGATGGATAAATAATACACATACACACACTCACATGCGTGATACACATAGCATAATGTTAGCTAGCCTGGTTAGCTAGCTAGTTTCAGGAAACGTGCTCTTTTCCACCCCCACCCCCCATGCCCACACACACACCCACACACACATAATGGATGTTAATGTCCATTATTGACATTTCATCATTGTTGTTGCCATTGTTGTTGTAAAATTGCTGCTGTTGTCATTTTGTTTTAAAAATGTTCTACAAATTGTCAGAAATGTTCTACAAATTGTTCTAAAAACGTTTAAAAAAGTGAAAAATGAAAATATTTCAAAAATGAAATAATTCTTGTGTGAAATAAAACACAGTAGAAAGTATTATACAAAACATTATTTTGAATCAAAATGACAAAAGTAGCATAAAAAACACATTGATTGGAACCCGGGTCAAAAAGGACCCACTCACGAAAGATTGTATAGTAAGTCACTCATGCATCAGAGGGTTAAAGGAATAATATGTAGCAAAAGCAGAAACTGAGAGCTTTCCTCTTTGCAAGTCTCACACCAGTCACCAGCTGGAAGGAGATGGATATGTGTGACACAGAAACAGACATCTTAACGGTTAGCATTAGCTTCTGCTAATATTTTGATGTGTTTAGCAATTTAGCATTAGCAGAGCTTATTTTTTATGTTTACCGACTTAGCTTTACAGACTTCTGCTAATTTTATGTGTCTAGGGATTTAGCATCAGTTTCTGATCATTTTTATTTTAATGTGTTTAGCTGTTGAGCATGGATAAGATTTTTATTTAGGCCATTAGTGGTTAGTGAACCTAACTTTTTTTACGATTCTATTGCAAACATATGTTCTCCATTACAACTATTGTGGTCATTTTGAAAAATGTCCACCAGACAATGGGAGCAAAAAGCTAAGAAAATACATATGATTTATATGGTTCAAAATATGTAAGCAATGATTTGACACCAAACACATTCTTCTGACATGTGATGTTAGTGCAAAGTTATTTCTTCATCACACCCATGGTGGCCATCAAGAAAAATGATAAAAGTACCAGTAAATATGACTTCTATCGGTTGAATAATGTATGATTCAACACCAAAAAGTATTCATCTGTGGCAAATATTGGCAAATTTAACACAAAAATATATTTTCTTTGATGACCACAGCAGCCATCTTGAATTTTTCAGTGACTAGTGATTTTTTTCCCCAAATAAGCAAGCCTTTCAGAACATCTTTTTTAAGTTAGGTTTTAGTATCCGCACATGAAAGGTTTCGCTGAAATATTCAATTATCTAAGCACACAACCAGAGCTACATTGTAGCAAGAAAATGTAAAACAAAGAATCCCTCCAGCTTTTTGTTTTGCAGACACTGACCTCCATGCTGGTGAGATTACAGCGATGCGTCCCGGCAAACCAGCCACTGCTGGAACACTGGTCAATATCCACATCCTGAAGGTTCACATCCACACGAATAACACCCCTGTTGACGAAAAAATAAATAAATGAACAGAACAGGAAGAGATAAGGCATGAGAGGAAAAGGAGCGGAAAAAGGAAATGGAAATCACTGCAAGGAAATCAGTGGGGAGTCGGATTAAAGGACATATAAAAATGAAATGAGAATGCTGAATCAGATTAGTGTAAGAGTAAAAAAATAAAAGATGAGACGAGTAATAATTGAGGGACATGAGAGGGTAGATGGGGAAAAGGACCCAAGTGAACCATGGGAGACAAAGAAGAGCCGACAAAATTACATTAGATTAGATAAATCGCAGGAGGGACAAGAGGCCAGAGGAGAACGCAGAGACTCAGGAGGCTAGAATGAAAGACAAGGAAATTAACGGGAAGAGCCGCTCTCAGAGGAAGTCAGGTCAAATCTGGTGGAGGCAGCAATAATTGAAAGAAGTGGATCCAAATGGGAAAGAAATGCAGAGCGATGGAGATGAAGATGATGAAGAGCAGAGATAAACATTCGAGAATAAAAACCGGAGTCAGACTAAATTAGATTTTCCGCTACGTAATCTTCTGATGTAACTAACAATGACTAAATGTAATCACTTAGAAAATTCAGCTTCAACACATTTAAAATGATTTAGAAATGTCTTTGCTGTGAATGTTTTGTGTTTTTGCTAAAAATATTGTTTTTTTAAGGGATTGGTGTCTATAGGGGGTAAAATACTAATTTGATGAGCATGCTTTGTCGATTAAAGCAAAATGTCTAATTGTGCAAACTGATCGTTCCTACACATTTCCTCCTTGCATTTTTCTCTGTGGGATTTTTAAAGACGCACATCTTTAGTGAAATTTTGGGCTTTGATTTATCCAAACCATTTTTTTTCCAAGGTAGAGTGATTGTGTAACACACAGCCTCAAGGATTTTTGCAGAGAAAAGATAACTGGGTGTGGGTCAGTTTTTAATTTATTGTGGGTTTTCTGATCCACACAGAGTCAAAATTATCTATAGTAGCTAAAATATATGGAAATATAACCATCCATCCATCCATTTTCTGAACACCCTTGTCCCTCAGTGGGGTCGGGAGGGGTGCTGGTGCCTATCTCCAGCTAACGTTCCGGGCCAGAGGCGGGGTACATCCTGGACAGGTTGCCAGTCTGTCGCAGGGCAACACAGACACACAACCATGCGCACACACACACACACCTAGGGGCAATTTAGACAGACCAATTAACCTAACAGTCATGTTTTTTTGGACTGTGGGAGGAAACCCACACATGCACAGGGAGAACATGCAAACTCCATGCAGAAAGACCGGGGCCGGGAATCGAACCCAGAACCTTCTTGCTGCACGGCAACAGCTCTACCAACTGCGCCACTGTGCAGCCCTGGAAATATAACCAGAGATGTGTAAAAACATAAGTTTTTTTGTCACTATTAGGCATTTACTTTCTGCTTTAGGCCAAACAGAGTTACTAAATGCTTTGATAAATCATTTTAAATAATTTTGCTTAATTTAAGGCTACCTTTTAAACTACATAACATAGGTCAAATGTTTTGGGTATGATCCTACAAGCAACAGTTT